GACTCACCCAGAAATGGCGTTTCATTACATTTAACGCTGGTTTTCTGGGGGGAGCCCTGTCGGCTCCCCGGAGCTACCTCACCACAGATAAGGAAAACAGGGCAGGAACTGGGAGGCAGATGCCATGCGCCCTAAACCTAAAAACCCAAGACTACAGACAAAACAAAAACCAAAACGAGAAGAGAATAGACCACCCAGGCCAACGACCAGGACGGCACCAGAACCCAAGAGCAGGCCAGAGGGAAACAACCCCAGGACAGCAAGTGGAATGGAGCAGAAGGAACCGCAACCGAACACAAGCAGGAGCGGCTCCGCCCGCACCACTTAATACGATGACAGGACACGAGCCCAGGCGACAGACCCGGAACAACCCCAAAGAGAGGACAAGCCAACCCTATCAAAGACAGAAGAACCCATCGCAGTGATAGGAAAACCAGAAGGACCGCCAGGAAAACCACACACCGCACCCGAGACAAAACACGCAGGTGGGAGACCAATAAAGAACCCATCAGTGCCGACACAAACGACGAGAAACTAGCACCACGAACGAAAGCGCAAAATGCGAATCGAAAAACTACGACCCTGCAACCCAAAGGAGCAAGATAACCAGCTCCAGCAGGGAAGAAAGACGCACGCGGCCCAGAGGCATCCAAGAAGAGAACTACCCAGCACGTGAACCGCAGGAAAGCAAACACACCCGGTCCAGAAAAGGAACGAAAAAACTGGAGCCAGGACCTGAGCCCCAAATAACAGTATAGGCTAGAAGCACTGACCCAGCTACACAAATAGGTGGAGTATGTGAGGAGGAAAAATGGAAATAGGCAAGGAAAACCCCGAATACGGCCCAAGGAGCGGCCGGGAAGTAAGGCACATGACCAACCACAAAATGTGTAGAGGAGGGCGTACATACCCAATGAACCTCATGGACAGCAGGGTGCAGTCAGGCACCAAAGTTAGGCAAGGAATGAGTGTCCCGAGAGGGAAAAGACCCAGGTGTCGACACTGAAACCAAAAGCGCCGAATTGCGGGGCAGAGCCCCACAGGACAACAAAGAACAAAAGACAGGGACAAAAGTCACTGAAGACCACGCAAAGTGACCAAACAACACACCACACCAAATACCCCTCGTAGGAGCCATCGACTCTATCCTGCCAAGCGGCGAAGAGTAAACAAGGATGGAGCAGTGAACAAGGGTGGTGGAGTGAGCAGATTATCTCAATAAGATACTCGCTCCAAACGCATTAGCCTAACGAGAGAAGCAAAGCTCTACTGAGGACCAATTATGGAACTAAAACCGTTCCAAACTTCCAGTTAATATGCCTGCCAACCTTTGGAGAATGGCGAGGTATCGCCCGAGCATAGAAGCAGCAGAGTAGCGAATAATAACTAGTTGACCTGCAAGTGTGGTTGGTCTAGAACAGACACTTGCGAGAAACCGTACCGACTCCCAGTGTGCTAAACTCGCACCATTGCCCACCAAAATAACACCCACATACCACTGTATACACAAAACATATGTAGCCTCTGAGTGGTTGTGTTAATTATCGCCAATCTTCACAAAACAATACTGGGACAGAGGCACACGCCACCCTTGCAGCACATTTTGTACACGAAACAATGGGCATTAAACGGAGTAGTGTAGAATCAGGAAAGACCTGAGGAATGACCGGCACGGTAACAGGGTCGGTGATTCGCGGAACCAATTACTGCGTAACTTGGTGGTGGGGCCCCACAATTTGTGCAAACGTGGGATGGACATGTATATGATCGGGAATGGGTGGGAAGAAATAAGAGCTGCTTTGTACGGGCCAATAGGCCCTCTGCAGTTCCTCTGGTCTGATGTCTGTATGGTCGTATGCCCAAGGGGACACAGGAGGAAGCCGAGTACCCAAAGGAGCCACAGACACGAAAAAGAACCTGATCAATGTCAGAGGGGAAAGGAAGCAGAAAGCACTAAGAAGCTGTGTGGTGGAGGCAGACTCCACCCACAGGAGCAACTGTAGAGAAGACAGAGCCCAGGAGGCTCAGGAAACTGCACAACTCAACTGACAGGAGAGGCGGGGCCCAAGAGCCAGAGCTCAATCCCCGCAAGCACCCCACCAAAAAGTGAGAACCAGCCCATGGCTGACAGAAGCGCCAGACATGACAACCTCACCTGCAGAGCAGACATACGACCGTGCCACAACACAGGCGAGCCAAGTAACATACCAGGAGAGCGCTAATGGTGTGCCCGAAAGCCAAGCATACTCGAGGCAATAGGCATGGTATGTACCGTTACCTGAATAAAATTCAGAAGTCGAAGGAGAAATACGTCCAGAGGCGAGCGCCCTGCAGAAGACGGAGCAGGACAGAGGGGGAGGAAGCGGCGCCACGCCGAGCCATCCCACACCCGGAAGTAGAGGAAGAACGAAGTGACACCCCCAGATATAAATCCAGAGCACCCTCAGCATCCAGAGGGCCACGACCGGAGGGAGAAAACAAGCAAGAAACCGTGGAAAAACCACGAGAAACGACACGAACACATGAGCATACTGCCCATAAACAAAACGCACACCGTGGCCCCAGCACACGAGGTACGAATGCACCACCCGTCCACCGGGAGGCGTGGCTCGTACACCAGGTGGACACATATCGTACACACAACGTACAGACACAACGTAAACACACATCGTACAAACACCAGGAAGGTTTGTGTAACGAAGACGAAGAACGCCGAAAATGGAAGTAGAGACGACGCAAAAACAAAACAAGGCGAAAACGAAGCAAAAGAAAACAGATGACAGAAGGTAACCAACGAAGCCGACAAAAGACCAGAGGAAAACCTCATCGAAAATCAACAGACGTTCCAAAAATATTGGAAGGTACGAAGAGACTCGCGAACCAACGAGAACCACGACAAGCACCCCTGAGCAAGGGACACGCAAGGACAACGATATGAAGTGGTTTAGGCATTGTATGTACTAGACAATATGTAAATCCATCAACGCGTGTTTCACACCTTGCATGAATACACCTTACCTGAATAAACATTCAATTTTATTTTTCCGAACAGTAAGAGCGAAAAGGGTAAGGAAAAGGGGGCGAAACACACCCCCAGGAACGACGGGACCGACGAACCCGAAGGAACACGGAACCGAACCCAGGGAGGGGGTACACCCGAAAACAACAGGAACATAGAGAGGGAAGGAACATTCCCACGCTGAAGAACAGCCAGCCCCTCACCAAAGGTACAAGGACCCAGGAGGGGCAAACGGGGTCGAGGCCCCTCAGGCAACCCCTCCCTAAACCCCGGGAACCTCGACGGCATGACCCGGGGCCGAGCCGCACCCCCAAAGCCCCAGCTTGACAAGGAAAAGCTGGGGCAGCCGTGCAAACACTAAGGAAGGGAACCCACTGGTCAGACCCAAACGGCACGGCTGGAGGAACCGACTCGAATGCCTCTGCCGCCACCCCGGAAGAGGAAACCCCGAGACCGCCCGAGTTTCAACTCAACCAGACCCCGCCCCAAACCCGAAACCCTCCTATGGTTCGGAGCAGGAAGCAAGGGAGGAAGTGAGTAGAACAGAATGGGAAGGACAAAGAGCGGAAGGAGCCAGAGCCGAAGCGACCCCCACCCCCAAATCCGGACCCCAACCACCAAAACGGGGCAGCCTCGGGGCATCTGGGGCCGCAAACAACCAAGAGCGTCACAGCAAGCTATAACCCGCAAGCAACACCGCAGCCGCCTGCACCCGATTATCATGACCAGTGGCCTGGGTGAAAGGCAGCACGTACCAACAACACTCGTCGTATGACTCTGGGCCACAAGAACAATGCCCCAACAGGCAGCATGGCGGACGCACAACCGGTGAGTGTCACCCTGAGACAATGGGACAGATCAACCGTCAAACTCACAGGACGCGAGGGGGACTCCGGGGACACACCTATAGGACCATGGAGCCCCCATGGGGTTTTCTAGGGCCCTTAGCCATTGGTACACGCTAAGGGAAGTCCAGGCAGGGTACCGCGAACCGGCACCCAATGCTACCAACAAACTGCTAAAGCTGAACCCCCGGGACGTGTCCACTCACGGGGGCCAAGCGGGGAGTACCACCAACTGAAGGAATCTAAAGAAATCACCTAGAACAGGAATGGGGGACCATAAAGGCAGACCCCCACCAGGCAAAAACAAAAACAAAAGAAAAACCCCGCAAGAGGACAACGTACCCAGGCGGAACAGAGCCGGCTGCTGTTATGGTGTAAACTAGCTGTGGAGTACCCCGCGCCCCTACCAGTGACGAAAACTACCACCTACTCAGAGACAACCAGGGCAACAAACCCCCAGCCGACTCCAAGGGCGGCCTAGTACCGAGCAGTAAAGGACACAGCGGAGGTAGGACCCAAGGTGACTTGTGGAAGGTGGCCCCAAACCCCAAGGGCAGTACTTACAGGCCACCTAGGGAAGATAGCCCTAGGCGCATGCAGCCCAAGTACTGTGGAATCTTACTCCTGGCTCACACCCCACCGGTAGAGACAGTCCACACCACAAGGCACAGAAACTGAAACAAAAACCGGAGCCAGAGGCACTCGACCAGACAGTAATTCCACCAGCCAAGAACTACCAGTTGGATCGCCGGCGTGGAGGGTCTGGGTCTCCCCCTTCCCCCTCCTGGGGATGGGGGGGGGGTTGCGCAGATGGTAGCGTAGCGACGTGATGATGTCATGCTAGTTAGATAACTTTGTTTGGGGGAGTTCTGTCCACTCGTTCGGCTTTTGGTAGCAATATTTTTACCAGAATAGGGGTTTGTTTTGGGGCGCCTACCTTTCTGGGTGCCTATCCCGGTCGATGGCAGACATAGAATACTCCCAACCACAAAGGGGTTTCTATAGGCCATTGCTCCTCGTGCCTCTCTGAGGGGGCCAGGTTCTGGCTCGTGGTTCCCGGTAGGCAAGAACTCCTAGCACTTTGACTGATGCCAGAAAGTTATACATATCCATTCAGCCTGGATAGCTCCGGGAGCCTTCATCATCTTCATCATCTGGTATAATCTCTCCATTCTCCAGACGATTCAACAGTTGTTGTATATACTGCATCACACGAGTACTGAGTTCAGTTATATGAATGTTTTTGTCTGGATGCCACTTAAGAATCAAGCGACGTATCAGATGCCGTCTTTCTTTTTCATCTGCAACTTCCCATATTTCTTTCATTTGTTTTCTTATAGTCTTCATAATTTCTTCTTCAGAAAGGTTATCAGATTCACTGCCGGCTTAACACTGTATCAGTTATCACCACATCACTGTCATTTGCATTAGTTCTTACAAATTTATATAGCTGATGAGCTCGAACTATCATGCAAGACTTTCCTTCATATCCAGTGTCAACTTCATATTCATTCATAAACAAGCTCTCATGACTTCTTACCAAGCACTTTACTTGAACAATAATGTATATATTCTCTTCAGTAGTTTCAATTCCTGCAAGAATATATTTCTTCAAGCAGACTATTTCTCCTTCATGAAATTGACAAAATTCATTATCCAGCAAAGGGATTAACTGTTCAGGAAGGTATGAACCTACATCTGTTCGATATAATTCATGTGCACTGTTCTTAACTCCCCATGCTGTTATATTCAATTCATTCAGTAATAAAGGAATTTCATGTGGTTTATCATAACTCCTCAATATGTTTCCTAAATTCTCCATCACTGATGCTGAAACTATCTTAAGTAGTTCCTGTAAGTTTTACACAGTCCACAGACAATCACTAGTACTGGTAATATTCTCAGAAATATAAAGTGTCACTTTTCTCTCTTCTTCATTACAAACTTGTACAAAAAATTTCCTCTCTCGTTTCCCCACTTCATCTTCATTAAACTTTAGCGTGGTAGTAATTACCTTCAACTGCTTCACCTCCACTCTATCAAGACTAGTCATTAATTCTTTTACTTCAGTTTTATCTAAACATAATCCTGTGGATACTCTATCATGATTTATAATCCTCAATACTGCTTGCTTAAAAGTATCTGAATGCAGAGTTTCTCTTAATTCATTAAGTAACTCTGTTGATATTTCCTCACAACTACTATTAAGGTCTTCTTTCACAGCTTGAGACAAAAACTTTAGCTGCAAATGTTTTGGCAGTCGTTTCACAAAGTCGGCATCATTCATTAGCATATTTAAGACTGCAAATCCAACAAATATTGGTACATTTAATTTTCCTTTAGAGGCCTCTAAATATTCTTCAATATCTACCACATACATTTCGGAAGACTTTTCCATTTTCCCTTCTTTCGTTGGGAGATAGAGTTCAGAAACTTGAAGTTTTTCGAGATTCAGTTTTCTTTTTCACCAAGCCTTCAAGAGCCAGCTTCATACACTTAGATTCTTCAGGATGCAATACTTGCTTCTGACTCTTTTCATAAATCATCTTCAAGACTTGAGCATAAGTGTCACAAGTGGCAGATTGAATGGCTCCTAGTTTTTTGAAGACATTAATATATTTACCATATCTTATTGGTGCTTTATATAAATATGGAATAATTTCAACCTCCAAATTTTCAATCACTAATTTAGCAGAAACAAAGGTAGAGTGCTTTGGTATATGCACTACAGGAGTACTCTGGCAGACAAGTGCATCATGAACACTGTTGCTGCACTTTTGTAAATACTGGTAAATACTTTCCATTACATACTCTATTTCTGGATTTGAGTTCTCTGGTTTAGATTTAAAAAATGTACACAATTTTGTAATGTGCTCAAGAACCTTTTCTTCTGGGGGGGTATCCATGATGTTCAAATGTTTTTTAATATCACTCCTGCATGATGTTGCATACTGTGGCAGAAGGCATGCAGTTGACCACAGAATATTAGAAAATTTTAATGGCACACCACCAGAAAAAGACACCAATCCAGATGGTGTTCTATAGTGCGGTAAAATCCTCTCTAATTCTTCACACTCTTGTGGAACAAGAAATTCAATATTCCTTATCTGTGAAACACTGCACTTTAATTTATTAAAGTTGTCAAAAAGGTATTGAGTGAGAACTAGAGACTTCTGACTAACTTCAGAATCATTACATGATAATGCACTAGCATACTGTACATACATTTCTGCAGTCAACTCGTATACCATACCAGCCAATTTGAGAAAGTAGTGCCATTCCGGTTTTCTCCATTCATCTGGTAAATTGCTCAAATTTATCACCATAAATACTGGGTTGAAAGGATCATAGAAATTACTTGCCATTTCTAATCTTCCATTTAGCTCAATAAAAGGAGTTCTTCTCAATACTGAAACAACATTTTTTATACTTTGGTTCCAAGTCTCTTCTTCCTCATATTGTGTTTTTGCTAGTTCATTTCTTAAATTTTTCAGAAAGTACGTTCTTTGCTGCAATGATAAATATTCATAATTTGGCAAAATTAGTTTTACATAAATTTCCAGGTCCTCCAGAAGACACTCTGAATTCAGGTATTGGTAGATGGTTTTTGCATCAGTTGATTTTTCTTCTTTTAAAATTATTGTATTGTTGTCTGCTGCAATTCCAACCAAACCATTTAAATTAAGTTTTGATGCAACTGGTACAATAAAGTTTTTGTCTTCCAATTTTATCACAGCTCCACAGATGTCTTCAAACATACAGAGTGAACGAAGTTTATTAGGACATAAAGAGGCACTTTTACAATATTTACCAAAATATTCCAAGACTTCAGACATTTTTTTATCATGTTTCATCACCTTGTGAACATACTGAGCAATTCTCTCTCTATGAAAGTAAAGGTTGTCTAACAAAACAGAAGGATCCCTTAATGTTGCTGTAAGAATGGGTAACTTTGTTGGAATAATTTTGAAGAATGTATGAGGAACAGGTAATGAATGGAAAACAGACTTATGGAAGGTAATCTGAACCTGAAACTGGGTCATTGTCCAGGTCTAAAACTCTCCAGGCCTTCTTTAATGAAACTAGACATTTTTGATTGTTATAAGTTAGGGGGTATAAAGACCAGTCTCCAAGAGTATATATAATATATTCCCTGTTCTTCATCCAAATGCTTTCCAAGGTTTTTTCATCTTTATTGCACTTAAAATACTCTCTTATGAATTTCCAAAGCATAGTCAACCATTTTTCATTCATGGTTACCTAATGGTAAAAAACATTCACTTTCATGATACGACTGGTCTAATTCTGCATGTAGTCTGTCTGCCAGATCCTGTAATGTGAACTCTTTCAATATATTTAGGTTCTTGTTGTCTGTTTGAGCTTTTTTGAATAACTTTACCATATCAAAGTGGATAAAGTCATGTGCTGAATTTGGAAGTAGGTGGCAGTATGATGAAATAAATACTGGTTCCTTGGAATTAAAATGTTTGAGGATCATGTCATTAGTGAGCAGCAATGGAAGCCCTTCCAAATAATTAAGAAAATGTTCTGAATATGAAAGATACATGAAGACAATACACACATTGTTGACACTTAAAAATGGTGTCTCAGTGATGTGTTTCATTATCATTGGATTGCATTTGTCAGGGTAATCTTTATCCCAGGAAAGAAGAAACTGAAGAGCAGCATCTGAATTAAGCAAGTGAAACTCAATTTCAGCACTAATGAGTTTGTTACGCATTATTGAGCTACCCACTTTCATGCCAAGTCGCCTTAGTGTGTTTAAGAGATTATTTTCAATGTGATCACTAGGCCTGACAATATTAAAATCATTGGGCCTGAATGTATAATGATCACTGGGCTTGACTGTATAATGATCTTTAAGCTTGGCAATCTGTGGATCCAAATGCTTAGCAAAGTAAAGGGGAAATTCATCACTGGCCTTTTTAAATGCATGCCATTTTAACTCTCCATTTTGTAGATCAACCACTTTATATTTATTTTCAGCTGAAACATGGAATTTGTCATTTTCTGGAATAAAAACATCAAAGAAATATAGTTCCTGATCAATGATGTACTTATAAAACCATTTGATAAAATTCTTCCATTTAATTGATTCTGTATTATTTCCATCAGGCAAGATCATCCTATACAAATTCATGTTCTGTAAATATTTACACATTGTCATCTTATTATCACTTTCTGGGAAAATACATTTCCTGTAGTAATCAACAGCACACACAGCAGCAGGGACAAGCACCTCCTTCATCAGCCAAGTATTCCACTGAGCTTTAGGATCCTCTAATCCTGTCCATAAATTTCGCCGAGAAGAATTTAAAGTAAAGTGTCCATTAACACTGAATGGCAGTCCTGATTTTACTGGCAATGGAAGATAACAAGATGTTGTAAATAAATCATTAATTGGGTTTTGGTTGGTATTCAAGAGAACAGCAGCTCCAGCATGAGGAAGCAGACTAAGATACTTATGGGAAAAAGCATCCTTCACTATCTCTGGTCGGCTGTCTTTATTTTCTGAACCAAGTTGCTGAACAATATACCAAATGTATTTTGCTTTGTTTGTGTCTGTAACTGTCATTATGTACTTTGCTCTGATCATATCAATATTAAAGACAGAGTTTAAATTATCATCAATATGTTTCTTTAATTCCATCATATGTTGCAACTTTGACAGCTCATTTTGCTGTTGGATAGATGATTCAACACAATATTCAGTATAACACTCTCCCTTTTTAGACATTCTCATAATGGAAATTTTACGAACATTTCTTAAAAATAACAAACATTTTGCCATTTCCAGCTTGAACTCATCCAACTTTTCTTTCAGCTTATAAGCTGGGAAGGGATCTGAAATTTTAGACTGTTTTTCAATCCTCAGTGGGAGTCTAAAAACTGTACCCTCTTGCTGTAGAAAAAGATTTTCTAGATACCATGGAAAGAATCAGGATGATCTTTTCGTAAGTCATTCAAATTTTCAAATCGCACCCCAGGTTTTTCAGGAGTGGCCCCAGGATCATACCAACAGTGAGGGTCAAACATGCATAGTGTTTCTCCTTGTGGGACTTCAGGCCCTCGTGTCAACAATGATGGTGCATCAGTTAAGTGATACACCGCATTAAAACCAATGCCGTATTGTCCTGTACTGGCTGGGTCTTGATTTTTCATACTATTACCCAAGTTTTGAATATTCTGAAGATCTCTCTCTGTGAAACCTTTATTATTGTATACACTTAGAGCAGGTCCTTGTAGTGGTGCCCATTTCTTGTCAAACAGTTTTTCATCAGGAAGATAACGAAAGTCCTTAATGAAGGCTACCTCTGTTGCTCCTGCATCATCAGCATTCTGTAGCAGTTCCTTCATTATTCCATAATCGCATGGGTAGTCTTTAAGAATGTTCTTTAGTCGAGTTGTTAAGGGTTCACTCTGACCAAAATGCATCCTGTTTGAAGAGTTCTCAAGACGCTGTCTAGTTTTGGTTTTTATTCCTAACCAATTTGTCATTTCCAATGATACTGAAATAGATTTATGTAAACAGTTAAAGCTGCCCGAGCTCAGATCAACACCATCTTCACAACACAACTTGTCTATGGGACAGAGATAGCCATCAGCATCTGGAAGGTGCAGTAAATGAAGGGGTAACTCACAGTCACCTGATCCAATAGGTTGAACATTAAACAACAATGCGAGAAGCTTGGAAATTTGTAATACTTCTGATTCACTTATTTTATTAGATTTATATTTTTCTTTCTTTTGACTAAGTACCTGAAATACAACTTCTGCATGAAAGGTTGGTCCAATACCTAGGGCTTCCATTAAATGCTTGTACATGCCAAGCCCTTCCACTTGTACTGAAAACAAGTCTGGTGAGCAATCACTCTCAGTGTTAAGTGCAAATAAATTTGGTTCCATAAAGCCATGTTTTGTAAGTAATACTTTTTCATTTCTTAGCTCTTTTAATTCCTCAGGAATGACTGAATTTAAAGATTGAATTTTATTCTCAAAATACTTGTATATTTTATGACAAATTTTCTGGATGTTGCCGACTGCTGGTGAAACAGTTGGTAATATTTTGAGTTGCTGATACACTATATTTAATGGCAGATTTTGTTCATGAATAATAATACCAAGCTTCTCAATCAGTTGATTAGATATCCAATCATTATCCATATTAAGCTGTGACAGTAATAAGCTTGTACTGCCTACAAGCTCTTTGAATTCTCCCAAACACATTCCTAAAGGTTTAGAAAACCCTACAGACTTCACTGGTCCTCGAACATCTTGCTTGACATGGTCAGCACACATCTGGGATTTACATAGCACAGTGTCACCTTTCCATGTGAGATGCCAGTCTTGAGGCTTGGGCATTACTGGTAAAAATGAGACATTCTGAATTCTCTTTGCAATATTATTTTGTTCCTCATGATTTTGAGTTCCTATGTAATGCAAGATTTTAAAAGATCTTTTAACAGCACAATTATGGCAAGACAATGCTTCAACTGTCTCTGCCCTGTTCTTTACCATCACTGAAGGAATAGATTTAGAATTCATTCCCAAATCTAAAAGAATGCTATGTCTATTAGAATTATTGTAAAACAGGCACTCTGGAAATCTCTCATCAGCTGCGGTGAACATTGATGCAATTCTACTCTTAGGGTCTATTAGGTCAGAAGGCATTTTTAAATTTCCTTCTGGGATTGTAGGAATACAATAAACATTTCTGAGATTTTCTAAACATGAATGCTTAATGTCAAAAATATGTAAAGTCAGCCTATTTCTCTTCTCTGGAGTTACATGTTGCTCAGATATGTTCGGGATGAAGTAACTTGAGAAAAACATATCTTGAGTAATCATGTATTCAGATATGTGAGCAAACTGGAAACCAGCAACAATATGGTTTGGTAAAACTATCATAAATCTTGAAGACTCAATAAACTTTTCCATATATTCAAAGGCAATGCTTCCAATCTCTTCTAGTTCATAAAATGCTTCTTCTAGAAACCAACAGACATTTAGTGGATGCCAGCCACTTCTGCTTCGAAAGACTGGCAGAGCCTCACTGATAATTTTATTATAAAAATGCTTTGTGAAGTTTGTTACTAGTTTATCAGTTGTGGCAAGATTTTCAGGCCATAGAAAATAATATGGACAATTCTTACTAAGACCTTCCAATTTCAATGATGATATAAGACTATGATAGGCAGCACTTATTGCATCATTCATCAAAGTTTCATTCCAGTCTGAACCTACTATTCGATCATCCTCTGTCTGTGTCTTAAGGCTTGTGCGGTCTGGAGCTACTTCAAAAAAACCATTTACTTGAACTGGCAGGTGTGTTGTTACTGGCAATGGCAGAAAGCAGTGCATATGGCTCTCATTATAAAATCCCTGAGGAAGTTCTGAAAGCTTTAAGGGTTGCCACCCATCATTTTGTTTTCTTAATGGCACTGCCACAGCACCCAGAGGTAAGGCTTTTCCTCTAAGGATTTCTGCTAAGTTACATGATGCCCCATTACCACAATGCCATGATGTAAGCCAAGTGACTATCCAAACCCCTTCATGAATGTTGCAAAATTTTCTACTTTCTTCTGAACATACAACTTCTATTTCTGAAAGTGTGCATTCTTGAAAAGGTTCCCTGTTCCACTGAAACCTATTATTAAATAGTTGAGCAACTCTTTCCACCTGGGTTTTATCTGTTTTGTTGAGGACAGAGACTGCCAGAGAAGGACATGCTTTCTTTATTGTTCTTGAACTTTCAAATAACAGCATACTCTCTGTTGGTGATGATGCATTCTTGTTTAAGTGAAACACCTTGATGTCTCTAATATTCTGAGTAAAAAGTAGTAGTTCTCCTATAATCTTGCTAAACATCTGAAGCAGTTCTATCATCTCTTTCTGTCTGTAACTCACACTACTGATCTCGCTAGTGCTAGCTTGGGCTGGAGTCCTTAAAGGAAAGCGAAATAAAGTGCCCTCAAACTTCTTTGCCTGTTGGATATTACAGCCAAAAACATTATTAAATGGTTTAAATTGTCCATTAAGCTTACTCAGCATATATAAATTTTTCTCCTTAGAAAAATTGTATCTCACTCCAGGCATCTGGTTATTGCTGTCTAAGTAAGTCATGTGTGGATCAAATATAATATAATTAGAGCCACTTATAATGCTTGGCACATCTGTCAAGTTATAAACTGAACAAAATCCAAGTCCAAATTTCCCAATTTTGGTGGACTGATACTCCTTAGTTCCTGCACCTAATTTTCTTAGATTTGAAAAATCTTCCTCAGTAAACACTGCATTATTATAAGCCCATAAAGCTGGACCCTGACACTCTTTTAGTTTATTGCTCATAAGCCTTGTTTGTGCATCTTCATTTTGACGTTCATCATAAAGAAAGGAAACAGTGGTGGCACCAGCATCATCTGCATTTTGCACTAACTCCTTGAGGACAGCCACACCATCACGGTACTGCCGGAGCAAGTTGTGGAGACGCATGGTGAGTGGTTCGTGCTGTCCCCATTCCATGAAACCCTCTTCACCAGCCAGTAAATGTTTATTCAGGGGTGCAACACCCAAAGCTTTTGCTAGTTTATTTCCAACACTGCTGTGAACCACTCTTACTCCAAGTTCATCACTGTCAATCCAGTCACAAGACTGTTCTGAATAAGAACACTGCTGTACATCAACTAGTTCTAACCTTCCATTGGCATTTTCCACAGGTAATAGCAATTCACATGGAGGGATATCTTTGCAAAATGGTACTAGTTTATGAAGAATTTGTATAACAATATTCCTGTCATGATCAACATCAGCAAATTGCCCTAAGGAGTGGTGCTGTTGAATTTGTTGTAAAAGTGTCAAGAACAATTCCTTTGATTGCATTTCAAAACACCCTAGAGTGCGAAAAAGACTACCATAATCACGTAATTCAAATGGTACTGAATACATGTGAGGCAATAATTGCAAGTCCCCAATTTGTGATAAGACATACACTTTCTTAGGGTCCCTGAAACCTGCCTCTGTAAACACACATGGTGAATTAGACATTGAGAGTAAATGGCATGCATCTGGTGTGTTAACAAATGTTGATAGTTGCTTGTATGTTTCTTTTATCAAATCAAAATATTTTGCTTCTGTATTTTTGTATACCTTTATTATATTTCTTAAGTGTTCCATGAGACAGATAGCACTGGGTTTCTGATTCCAGCCAAAGCTGTTAGCAACATTTTGAATATCAGAGCAATGTACCAGGGGGACCACTGAGCCCAGGACATTCCTGAAGTGACTGTAACTTTTTACATCTTGAGGTCTATATGGCTTAAAAATTGTTGCCCAAATTAAGCTGGCAGGATAGCCAGCTGGTTTAAGTGTTTCACCATAAACAAAACTAACACTTCTTACAGCTTGACATATCTGTTGGCAATCAGGTCGGCGATTTGCAGCTCTGAGCAAAGCTGCAGCTTTTATTACTTTCTCCTCATCAGTTAATGATTTGCTATGGAAATTTGTTATGATTTGAATGAAATCATGTGTGGGCATGTTGTACACTTTCTTCATCCCAAGAGTTCGTAACAAGGGATAATACTTCTGAAAGCAAGTTTGGGGGTTTAAGCCTTCTGAAATCAGTGCTGCATTGTCAACATCCTCGGGATCATAAATTTGACTAGGAAGGAAAAGCGTACCACTTGTGTTAGGAACAAATCTCACGTATTGAAGCCGATTTCGAATTCCCACACTACTTTGCAGGTAACTGTCTTCAAAAATGTACGCCACAAGTTTTGCCATATCATTATCAGAATAGGTGCTCTGCAAGGCTAATAGGCACAACATTTCTTTTGTCAATTGATTGGCACCCAAAGTTTTTGCAAGATGTCGATCAATCATGGTGGATGGCACAATGAAAGTTTCAGGAAAATTTACAGGAAAGTTATTAATGTCTGGAAATATTTTGTTACAATTATTAATGCTTATATCCATCACAGTGTAGTTCTTTCCTCTGGCTTTGAAGATGTTAAGTTCTCTGTAAAGATTCACAATCTGTGGATGAAGATTGTGTATTTCAGTAACAGTAAGTAGTGCCTGAGCTTGTTCATCATTTCTCCACTTATTAAAGTTGCATGCAAGATCTTGGCTTCTATGCATTGTCATCACCTTAAGCAGAGCCTGGGAAACACCTTGAGCATCAGAATTGTTGAAATAGCTGTATAATTGATGATGTCGAACATATTCTGGAGGTTTAGGGATTACTTGCACTTTTAAGAGCTCAAGAGCAGCTACAGCTGCTTTTGATAGAGGAAGTGATGCATTTTGCACAATGATTGCACTTGAAAGACATATTAGCTTGGAAGAATCTATCAGATTTGGACTGCAAGGTACTAGGGCAACATTGCTTACACTCTGAAGATCTAGATGTTGCATAACTGACCATACTTTTGATAACCAGCATTCCAACTGTTGCTGGGAGAGTGCAAGTTGGTGGACAATCTGAGCACTCTGAGCCAGTAGTTGAGCACCATGTTGACTGGCAGAGAACTGCTTTAACTGAGATACACCTGTAACAAGAGATGATATTATCTTAAATATAGATTTCATACCTAATTCACACAAATACTTAGTACTATAGTATCTACAAGTTATAGCTTACCTTTATTGATGACTCATGCTGGCGTATGGAAGACGGTGAGGAGGGGGGGAGGAGGAGAGGTGTTAGTGCTATGACAGGGAGTCCCCTTCTATTATAACATCAGGCAGTGATGACTTCTCAGGCTAACCATAGCCCGTGCTACTTGCCCCACTCCTGTGCCAGGTAAGTTACGGGCTCACCATAGCCCGTGCTACTTGGAACTTGTTCCGAGTAGCTGAATCTATTACAACAACAACAGATGACTTCTCTCTTCTCTTCTACGTTTTGCCTGCATACCACTAGGTATGTGTAGCTTACTGCTTGTTTTTCTCACTAAAAACCTTTCCATAGATACTTGTTTTTTCATACTTTGTAACACTTGTCTGTAGTGAGGCATCACAGTATCATTAGAAAGGTTAAGGCAACAGCCTACTACAGCTTTCTCTGGGTGAGCCATTTCAACAAAAGTTTGCATTTCTTCCCATAGTCTACACCACTTCTTTCTGTTGAGGAAGAAGCATCCTGTACTGCTTCCTCCTCCCTTGAAGAAATTTCCTCGGCTGACTCTTGTTGCTGCTCCTTGTCTCCTTGTAAAGGCCTAGGATTTCTTTGGTGGTAAGTTCTTTGCTGTGTTCCTCCACCAACTCACAACACTATGAATGCCACTTCTTTTTCTAAATTTCTCAAACCATTCCCTACTCACCTTAAACTCTTTCGCATCTGCATAACTTGTTCCGGGAGGAGGGAAGTCCTTTGAAAGTCTTCATGCAATAGCCTTGCTTTTTCACAAATGATGGCCTTTGAAACGCTATCACCCGCTAACTCCTTGTTGTGCATCCAAATTAATAACTTTTCAATGTCCTCAAGTGTTTGTGTTCTTTGTTTTGTGACTGTTGATACACCTTTTGCCACTTTTTGCCAAAATAATGTCCTTTTCTTAGCAGTTACAGTGCATATCGTTGACATAGATTTGCTGTACTGCCTAGCTAGTTCAACAACCCGAGTAACATTTTCATGTTTACGAATGATCTCTTGTTTTTGTTCTACGGTCATCCTCACATGTCTTTTCTTAGGTTGAACCTCACCACTAACTTTCTTGGGCCCATGGCATGATAAATAATAATTACTTTTATATTCAAAACCAAAAAAAACCAGCGTTGAATGTAATGAAACGCCATTTTCTGGGTGAGCCCGGGAGGCTCCCTGGAGCTTATCGGGCTAATGTATGTTGTATTAGACCGGGACATTAGCTAAGGAGTTCAGACCAACCAGGGACCAGCGCCAGAACCTGGCCCCTTCAGAGAGGTTTCAGGGAGCAATGGCCCTGGAAAACCCCTTGTGGTTGGGGTTTTCCTTATCTGCCATCGACCGGGGTTAGGCACCCAGAAAGGTAGGCATAACAAAACAAACCCCACATGGTAAAACTAAAACAAAAACTGAACATAGAGGTAGAAACTCCCTACAATCACAAGGAAACAAGCAAACATCACACTTTACTGCCGCGCTGATTGTCTGCGCAGCCCTCCCCGCCCCGGGAGGGGGAGGGGGGAGCCCCAGACCTACCCGCCGGCTGCCAAGCTCCAGTTCGGAAGCTAAGCTTCAACCAACGCGAAAAAACCGCCGACCGGTGGGAAGGAAGGTTGCCAGGGAGCCTCCGGGGCTCACCCAGAAAATGGCGTTTCATTACATTCAACGCTGGTTTTCTGTGGGGAGCCCCTACGGCTCCCTGGAGCTTCATACCCAAAGAGAAGGAAAAGAAAGGGCTAACCCGGGAGGCGGCCGCCACAAACTCTGCAACGCAAAGCCAAGACAACCGGTCGCAAACCTGCGACCCAAGGCAACAAGAACGCCCAAGAGCAGACGCGCATAAGGATGGGCGGCCAAGAACCTGTGCGACCCACAACTCCCTGCGCCCGAAATGAGCCCGAGACGTCACCAACACAGCAGCAAAAGCTGCAAACGTCTGAACAAGCACGGGCGCAAAGACAGACCGCAGGCTGGAAGAATGAAAACAATGCGGACGACCTGGGAGACCCGAGCCCTGAAAATAGGGAACGAAGGAACTGGATCAACATCCGGTTCAACAGCGCATCCCCAGACACGGTACGCCGGCAACAGCAAAAAGCACAACCGGACAACACAGGACGCACCCCCCGGCCAAACCAATCAAGTACCAATACCCCAAGAACCCCTCTGGAAAGCAGCCGTCTCGACCGTCGCCAGGACAGAGAAAGGCTGCACACCTATAAAGCTACCACCAGTACCAAAGAGCAGGAAACGGAACCGAAGGGGCTACCACAAACTGAGGGGAAGATAAGAAGGCACCCTGAACAAGGACCAGGATGGCTCAGGCGACGCATGAGCAGGCCGGAGGGGAAACAAAACACGAGAAAACGTATGAAACGTCATACTGTCGCCATCGCAAAGACGAAGCTCACAGGTGGGACACCGTCAACAAAGCCACCTGAACACCATAGAGATGGTGATACCCGTGTCAAAATACCAGACGCGAAGAGCCAAGGGGAAGGCCAAACCAGTCACGGACAGGACCGATTCGGCCTGCTGAAAGAGGCAGAGCCTCAGGAAAAACGCCCCGGGTACGGACACCTATCAAGCAGCGTCTGAAAAGAAGGCCGGGCCGGCCACCATGGAACCATAAGGACTGTTCTCGTGGGAATGGGCTGCAACCGAGCCAGAATCCGAAGCAACAGCTGGACCGGGAGAAGAGGAACAGGTACCCCCCACCTCGACCAGTCCTGCCGAAAGCATCCACCGTGAAGTCCTCGCAGGTGGCAAAGGGCGCCACAAAATGGGCGACGCCTAGACCATGCTGACCCGAAGACGTCCATGGCCAGGAGTCCATACGCCCGACAGAGCCAACAAAACGAATCGGCGACGACTGGCCAACCCACGAAGAGGAATGAACCGAGACAGCTGTCCGCCAGGACGCAGGACACACCCCGGACACGAACCTCACGGTTAGCCAAACCCCTGTGGTTCCGGCAAGAACCACCAGAGAACAGTCTAAACAGAGCTGAATGGTAGAGTACCTAGTGACCCAAACCCTCCGAAGCGCAAACCAGACAGCCATGAACACCCGAACCGTGCTGTGAGCCCGACAGACAGACAGACTCCATCAACCTCGGCCGACCTGGTGAGCACTGGTCACAAAGCCCCAGACGAGAGACGACCCGTCTGTGAACACATCGAGCGAAGGCTCGGGGAGGTGCCAAGGCACGGAACCCCGAAAACCCTAAAGAGGAAGCTGGTGACGCAGCACCAACACAAGATCCCCGGAGGAACCCAATGAATGCAAGAGGCGGAAGGGGAGTCTCCGCAGGAACCAACAGACACCGTAGCCAAACCTGACTCCGCGGGCAACCAAGCATGCCGAAGTGCAGACTCCCGCACAACCGCTCAAGCAACCGCTGAGCAACCCGGGACCCCCTCCTGAACAGCCGAAGGCGGGACCACAGCCGCAGTAACACTTCTGGAGGGAAGACAATGAGGGGCCCAAGAGTCTTAAACAAGGCCCAGGTCCGAACCCGGGACGGAAACAGATGGAAAAACCTCCAGATCACCAGGAAACCAAACCCGGCGATCTGGAAAGAACCATCCCCTGGCGAGCAGACAAGCGGACTGACTGGGAGCCCACACCAGCCAGTCGTCGAGGTAGGCCAGACACCGAATCTCAGACTAGGACAGGGCACTAAGATCCGGTAAAGATGCAAAAAGTATACGAAGTGCCCATTACAAAATAGGGAAGGCAATAAAAACAGCAAACCTGAAGCCCCACCACCAACCGTGCTAGTCCCAGAAAAACTAGAGAGGAATGTGCCAAGAAGTGACCTGGAGGTCCAGGGCCACCATCCATGCACCCGCCCCAACAGAATCCGAACAGGAGACAACAGTCCTCCGAGGAGGGCATAGGATCCAGGGCGCAGACTGAAGAAGTCCAGAAGAACTGCAGACGGGAAAAGCTCATGACTGCAAAGAGCAGACGGGAACCCCAGAAGGATGGGGTGGATCGACCACGCCCCACAAAGAGGAAATGACGAAGCGCAGGGAAAGAAGCCCACCCCGCCAGCTCTGAACCCCCTCAAGGGGGAGAAGCCGTCCTCCGACGCCAGCAGAGGACGGAAGACAACCCAAAGCGCCCACCAACAGCGGGACCATGCGAGAGGCAACAGAGCAAGCTGCACCCCCAGCGCCCAGTCAACAGAGAAGGGAACAGAACCCCTTCCGAAAGAAAAAGTACACTACCCAAGTCATGAGGAGAGACTACGGGAATTAAACCACAGTTCGCTGGAAGACGAAGAGTGAGGGGAAACCTGATCACCACATTCAAGATACCCAAGGGAATTGACAGGGTTGATAAGGACAGGCTATGTAACACAGGGGCACACGCACAAGAGGACACAGGTGGAAACTGAGTACCAAAAAGAGCCACAGAGATAGAATTTTTTTTTTTTTTTTTTTTTTTTTTTTTTAGTGTCAGAATGGTAACGGGAAAGCACTAGGAAGTAATGTGGTGACTCCACACACAAGTAACAAGGCTGACCCCCATACAATGTCACATGTAGACATGATAGAGCCCAATAGGCACACGAACCTATACACCACTTTCGATACATTCTTGTATCAACATGTTAAACAAGCTACGAGGATGAGGGAAGGGGACGTTCCCTCCATGCTAGATTTGATATTTACCAGGAAGGAGGAAGAGATATTTGACATTCAGTACCTTCCTCCCTTGGGTAAAAGTGACCATATCTTTTTGGGAATAAAGTATGCAATGCATTACAAGCTGGAAGAAAATAAGGAAGTTGAAGCAGTTGAAAAACCAGACTTCAGGAGAGGACATTATAGTGACCTTAGAAATTTTTTTAGTGAGTATAATTGGACAGACTTGATGCTAGGCAAGGAAGT